CCAAGAGTGCCTCTTCCAAAATTATGAATTTTATGGCCCCAGGGTCAGGGGTTCTAGGGCTAGGGATGGGTTCTATTGATTAAATAGTGAAAATGCATAATTTATTCTCTGAAAGTCTTCTCTGCTGCTGGGTATTAAATAAACAAACTAAGTACATAGTTATGATGAGCAAGAGTGCCTCTTCCAAATTTTTGAATTTTATGGCCCCAGAGTCAGGGGTTCTGGTGTTAGGGCGGGGCCCTATTGATTATATAGTGAAAATAAATTAATTCTTTGAAAATCTTTTCCTTTGCTCCTGGGTTTTATGCCAATGATCCAAGTATGTATATTTATAATGAAGAAAGGTGCATCTAGCAAAATGGTTATTTTTTATGCCCCCTGGGTCCGGGGGGGGGGGGGGTGTTACAAAGTCTGAAAATAAATTAATGCTTTGAAATCTGCTCATTGGTATTAATCAACAATTTTATGATAAAATTTGCAAAATTTGGAAATACCAGGTATGTGGCCCCAGGGCCAGTGGTTCCTTTGTAGTGAGGTGCAAAACTGGTTATAAAGTGGAAGTGCATTTTCTCTTTGTTACTCTGATATACCTCTGGGTATTAAGTAAATAGAGTAAGCATGCAAAGTTTATACATGTAATTATGATAAGCAATGGTGCCTCTTTCAAAATTGTGAATTTCATGGCCTCTGGTTTAAAACACAAACCAAAGGTAATTGTTTGAAAGTTGTTACACAATACTCAGGTGACCTATAAGGCCCGTGGGCCTCTTGTATATTATATGATGACAACAATGAAGTTTGTTCTTCATCAGTATTACTACTGATGTATGATAGCAAGTATGTTTTTTATTAGCTCTACTGGTCAGAGACCAGAAGAGCTTATGCGATAGTAATGCGTCCAGCGTCCGTCCGTCTGTCTGTCTGTCCGTCTGTCTGTCCGTCTGTCTGTAAACAATTTTTCAAAATGCTACTCCTCCTACAGTTTTGGTCTAATTTCAATATAACTTGGCACACAAGTAGACTACACTAAAATACATAATTCTGTGTATCGGTTTTTGATTTCGATGAACGGTGTTGCCGTGGTTACTAAAAATAGAAATTTCTGTGAAATTCTTTCAAAACGCTACTCCTCCTACAGTTTTGGTCTGATTTCAGTATAACTTGGCACACAAGTAGACTACACTAAGATACATAATTGTGTTTATCGGTTTTTGATTTTGATGAACGGTGTTGCCGTGGTTACTAAAAATAGAAATTTCTGTGAAATTCTTTCAAAATGCTACTCCTCCTACAGTTTTGGTTTGATTTCATTATAACTTGGCACACAAGTAGACTACACTAAGATACATAATTCTGTTTATCGGTTTTTGATTTCGATGAACGGTGTTGCCGTGGTTACTAAAAATAGAAATTTCTGTGAAATTCTTTCAAAATGCTACTCCTCCTACAGTTTTGGTCTGATTTCAGTATTACTTGGCAAACAAGTAGACTACACTAAGATACATAATTCTGTGTATCGGTTTTTGATTTCGATGAACGGTGTTGCCGTGGTTACTAAAAATAGAAATTTCTGTGAAATTCTTTCAAAATGCTACTCCTCCTACAGTTTTGGTCTGATTTCATTATAACTTGGCACACAAGTAGACTACACTAAGATACATAATTCTGTGTATCGGTTTTTGATTTTGATAAACGGTGTTGCCGTGGTTACTAAAAATAGAAATTTCTGTGAAATTCTTTCAAAATGCTACTCCTCCTACAGTTTTGGTCTGATTTCATTATAACTTGGCACACAAGTAGTATACACTAAGATACATAATTCTGTGTATCGGTTTTTGATTTCGATGAACGGTGTTGCCGTGGTTACTAAAAATAGAAATGTCTGTAAAATTGTTTCAAAATGCTACTCCTCCTACAGTTTTGGTCTGATTTCAGTATAACTTGGCATACAAGTAGACTACACTAAGAACATAAAGAGACTTTATCAACGATCATTATTCTATTTAGTTTCAAATCCCAGCTGCTTAAGTACTTTTCTCTTCCTTTGCTATAAGTTCAAACCAGTAGAGCTTCAGTCTCGACAGAGACTTCTGGTTACCACTGGACCCATGCCCTGTTATCCTTGGCTAGGTTATAAGGTAATGTCAGGAGCCATTTTCTCCTGGCAGGGGGAATATGTAGCCAGGTGTTGGATGTTGGATCCACCTATTTGTGTTTAGTTCTTCATTGTTTGTCTGTCTTTATTGTCATTCGCTGTTGGTGTCACGTGATTTAGTATGATAGAGAGAAAGGGGTGTATGAGAGAGAGAGAGTTGTATTCACTAACAAAACCTGTTTTAAATTACCTGTCCGCCTATACCCATACCCATGCACACCGTCAAGGTAGAAGTACCAATTAATGAATGTATAGCGTATAGGGTTATGTAGACTGGTTTATTTCCATACATATAAATTATCAAAACCCAAGAATATTGTTACTCATCTCTACCGACGGGTTACAAAAATCAGTTCTACGTTTATAAGAAATGTCATTTGAAATGTATATTAAAATTCCACCACCTGCCCTTAATTAGTATTCGATCTTTTCTTTCAAAAACAAAGCCCTCAATATTTAATTCAGAGTTGCCTATCTGCTCGGTCAAAAAAGTTTCACATACACCTAAAATGTCTAAAGTTTGCCTATTTTGGAGCAATAGTTTTATTTCTTCATTTTTAGGAATAATATGACAAATATTTAAATTTCCGAATCGTAAACCTTTTTTTACCAATCCAAATCCTTGGTTTTTTTGTGTTGTTTGAGTATCATTATTATGGGTCAAAGGGACTGTTTTCATTACTTATGATACAGATTTGAATGGGCTTGGCATAGGAGAAATGACAGTGGTTTGTTCAGCTGAACTCGGGCTACTTTTAGAATCCGTGTTCGATTGTGTCTTACTTTTAACATGTGGTTTTCTTGACAATTTAGAATTTGTCGAGTTATTACAGTTATCAATATCGTCACATAAACATTGTAAATTGTTACATTCATTACAAATAATGCCAAGGATAGAAAATGTACTAGAGTTCGAAAAAGATTTAGTATGGTTGTTGACGGCTACACATTCTTTGCCTGATACCTAGTAAATGTATGGACAGGATTTCGTCTTGTGTCCTAATTCCCCGCAATTCCAACAATCAAGCTTTCGATGACGATGACGATGAAGACGAGCCAAAGAAAATTCTGGAGAAATTAGAAAACTGTCCGCCCTAAGAAAAACAAGCGAATGGCAAGATTCAGACTTCACTAAAGAACACAAAAAGAGGCCGAAACTTTTGACAACTTTGTTAAGGATCTCAAAATTTTAGCTATGGACTGTGATTACGCGGATAATAATGATGTTTTGATTGACTTAATCATTAGTGGCGTCAGGCATAAGAAAGTGCAAGAGAGACTGTTAGAACAAGGTCAGGATATCATACTCAAGAAGGCTATAGAAATTGGACCATAGTTTGAACTGTCACAAGCACAAGTCAAATTAATGAGAGGAGAGGAAATGTTGAAAATTGACTCTCATTCACAAAAGAAACACACAACCAAATTCAATGTGTCGCGCAACAAAACTGTTAAAACTGGGAAACCAAAAGCCTATAAACCAAGTGACAATCCAAATTGTTCAAGTTGCGGTTTGGAACACGAACGTGGAAAGTGCCCGGCACTAGGAACCATTTGCAGTTACTGTAAATAACGAAACCACTGGAAGAAAGTGTGTCGTCGTCGGCTGAAACAGATCAAAGTCGGCACGGTACAGCGAGATACAGAGTCAGAGGAACTACTCACCATTAGCATGTGTACTTCCGTCAAGTCCAGTCAGGATGACAACTGGGACGTCCGTCTTGGTATCAAAGGTCAGCAGATTCGCTGCAGGATAGACACTGAAGCACGGACTAATATACTCACATATACTCAAATTAGAAACTTGGGAGGATATCAGTAACTTCCAGTTGTTTACCGTGATTGTAAAGCTAACGTTCACTTTGAAGTGGTCGACTTAGATCAAGAGAATATCATTAGTGGTGATACTGCAGTTACTCGTGGATTGATATACAAAGCCGACCCCCATCTGCAGACTTCGATATCAGCTGTGACTACTACAGAAAGTGCACAAATTGAACTATCCAGAGACTATCCAGAACTTTTAGAAACTACAGGAACACTACCCGGAGAATACCATCTCAGTATAGATGAATCCGTACCTGCAGTTATTCATCCCGTAAGGAAACTCCCAGTATCAATTAATCCCAGGGCAGTTGACAAGCTGAGAGAGATAGAAGCGAATGGATACATCACGAGAGTAGACAGGCCAACAGAGTGGGTCAGCTCAATGATAGTGAGTGTAAAGGGAGAAAAGATACGCATCTGCATAGATCCAAGGGATTTAAATCGCGCCATAAAACGTGAGCATCACCCTTTATATAAAAAACTATTGACGATTTCATATCTTGACATAAAAAGCCAAGATATTCAAAATATATAATGCAAAATCTGGATTTTTGCAGATTCAGCTTGACGAGAAGTCATCGTACCTGACAACATTTAACACACCAATAGGAAGATATCGTTGGCTCCGACTATCCTTCGGCATAAAATCAGCACCAGAAATCTATCAGAAGATCATGGACAACATGATATCCGGAATCAAAGGTGCGTCTGCAATCATAGATGACATCCTCATCGCAGGTGAAACACTTGAGGAACATGACGCCATACGTTGAAAAGTTGTGGAACGAGCAACAGGCTACAATCTGAAACTGAACTTCGAAAAATGCAAAATTCCTTAGTCTAGTGTGCTATACATGGGCCATATAGTGTCGAACCAGGGACTTAAACCAGACCCGGACAAAATCAAGGCTATACTAAACATGCCAGCTCCACATGACAAGGAAGGTGTCCGCAGGTTCCTTGGACTCATACAGTACTTGTCGAAATTCATTCCAAACCTATGAGGATTCAAACGATGATGATAAAACTACAGTGGTACGACATCAATGTCAAATACAGGAAAGGAACTATGATGTACATTTCAGACACTCTATCACGGGCCTACCTAGAGGAAAGCGGTGACGAGGAGACAGAGAAAGCTGTATGTTATCCATAACACCTGAGAAATACTCCGAAATCCAGAGATCAACAAGAAGTGAACTTGAAACTCTCATGAGCACCATTCAAACAGGATGGCCAGACACAAGGAATGAATCTCCTTATGAGGTCAGACAGTACTTCATCTCGAGGGATCAGTTATCCGTTCTTGACAGCATTGTGTACAAGGGAAGTCGTATAGTCATCCCACCCAGCTTGCGGAAAGAGATGCTTAACATTATACACAAGTCTCACCTTGGGATAGTCAAGTCAAAGAGTCGCGCAAGAGAGGTCATGTATTGGCCAGCCTTGAATGCTGACATAGAGCAGGCCGTAAGTGACTGTCCATATTGTGCAGAGTATCAGAAAAAGCAAAACAGAGAGCCTCTTATGCCAACACCAACTCCAGATCTACCATACACTCGTGTTGGAACTGATGTATTTGAATTCATAGGCAAGAAATACCTGATTCTGGTGGACTACTACTAAAAATACATTGATGCCGTAGAACTCAGATCAGAGACAACTACAGCCATAATAGAAGCCTTGAAAATAGTTTTCGCATGCCATGGACTTCCAGCAAAACTCGGGTCTGACAATGGACCACAATTCAGCTCAGCTAACTTCAAAACCTTTTGCGTAGAGCTTGGAATTGAACACGAAAGAAGCAGCCCTCATTTTCAAAGCTCGAATGGCGAGGCTGAGAGAGCAGTACAAAATTTAAAAAACCTATGGACAAAGTGTGATGACAAGCAACTTGCTCTGCTAGATTACAGAACAACTCCACTAGAAAACATTAATCTGTCACCAGCTCAACTATTAATGGGACGCAGACCTAGGAACACGCTTCCAGCATCACAAGATTTACTTAAACCAGCAACACATGACCTAAGAAAAGTACAGCAACACCTTAATGCCCAGAAAACCAAGCAGGAATTTTACTATGACAGGAGAAGAAATGTGAAGGAATTATCACCCCTAGACAATGGAACAACAGTCAGAATGGAAACACTTGGTCCTAAGTCCTTATCCCCAGGCATTGTCGTACAGAAAACAGACCAACCAAGATTTTATGTAGTGAAAAGCAAAGGAAAACTTCGCAGAAATCGGGTTTACCTCCACAAATCAAGAGAACACCTTCAGGATGAACCGGTTGAGCAGGACATTCCCATGGAAGACAGCAGTCCCAATGAGCCTACCATAGAAAATGCTGCTACACTTCAAGTCAGAAACAAACCCGTCAATCACAAAAACGCACTCCAAACCAGATCAGGACGAATCGTTAAACCTCCTGAGAAACTCGACTTGTGAAGTGCTTGTAAATAATTCTGTTAGTAACTTTTGATTTAAGCTGCATCTAATCAGCAGTTTGCACTGTGCTTAGGGGCATAATAATCCCGTGCATCTGCCAGAACAAACGTTATGCTATGTTTGTTAGTGTTCTTATTTGATTTGTTTATATTGAGTGTTTGAAACAAAATAAAAACTTTTGCCTTGAACTATTGAAGACTTTACACATTTATAACAGTATCTGTATGTTAAATGAAAAAAAATCTGTCTTTAAATTTAGTGAGAGGGATGTTATGTACTTTAGAATGTTGATGTACAACTTATCTAACAATGGTATGACTTATCTATTAACGAAAGTTGGGGTTATCTGCCCTTGCTATCTCTGTATTTTACCGCCATGTCTGAATGCTCCACTGTACAATAAATTCTGTTTCATACACCCAACCGGTGTCTGTTAATAATATACTACAGAGGCACTCTTGGTGATCATAACTTTGTACTTAGTTTGTTTAATATCAAGGAGGAGAGATTTTCAAAGAAATAATTTTCAGTTTCCATTCATTTTCTTGACAGAGGTTGAACATATTGAAATGAAAGGATCACTTCATTATAAATAGGGATGTGACCTATAGGACCGGGCTTGGTTTTTTCTCTACAAAAAGCTTGTCGATTTCCGTTCCGATTAATGACATTAGGCTAAATACATATAATAATTTGTTTTTCCTGAATTTTTATTTCAGTTAGTACAGGTAGGAGGAACCCTTTCATTGATTTTTTGAGTTTGTAATTTCCATATGTACTAACTGATATTTGTCTTTACTTCTCGTGGTTCATAAAGGTAGTGTCTACTGTCTCTGAAATTCTGTTTTCATGTCTAGGACATTTATCCGTGGATATAATAAAACATGCAAAATTATATAGGCCTAAATGATATCCAAGGGAATGCATTTACTGAAATATGTAGCCAAAATCAATGTGATTTAATTAGAAGGAATATATACAATTGAAATTCATCGCAGCTCAATCCTGCCAAGAATACCTATATTGAGGAACACAGAGTGAGTTATTCTTGTCCTCGAAGAAAGTGTGCTTATACTGAGGTTGTTTCGCCTGACTGAGAACTGTACATTGGATTGTTACGATTTGATATCTCTTTAGTGTTTCTTATATATCAAGAATGGGCATGCATAAAGGATAGATAATTGAAGGAAAATACACAAATCTATATAAAAAATCTAAATAGTCTTTGCAAAGGCGAAATTTAAAAGTTTAAAAGTGTTGTACCAGGTGGATTCGAACCCCCGACATTAAAAAGAAAGTATCCAAGGGTGCAAAATTCAGCGCTTATATCAACTGAGCTAGTCTGACTATAATAATGAGTGGCATAAATTTCAAGCAGGTGATGAAAATCAGGTTTCCTTATTTTTTGTAGGTTTTTTGTGAATTTCGACCCCAGGGCAGGGGTGCCCCTAAAAAAATCATCTTAATTTATTCCTTACATCCTAACCTATCAAAATATCACAATTTTATTTAGGGGCAGGCCTGCCCTGAAGGACTTCAAGGCCAAAATTCATGCAAAAATCAATGCTTTTATGGACAAAATGGTGTTTCGGTCAACTTTGGAGGTTTATTATAAATATGTAAATAATAAATTTTAGGTATATAATACAAATTTGAAAAATTTAGACATATATACGGTAGAAAACAACAAATAAAGATTAATTTTTCAATATCACTTTTTCAGGGAAATTGTTCTCTCCTATAGGTCAATTCTTTTGTTAAAGCGAATACATCCTTTGATTTGCAGAATTACCATAAGAATATTTAGGTCAAGATCCTGTTTTGGATACGATCGAGACATTTTAGATAGAGTAATGCCCCTTGGACTTTAGAAAATTCCAATAATTTGCAGTTTCTATTCATTTTCTTCGCAGAGGGTACACAAAGTGAAATGAAATTTGATATGCAGAATTTCATATACAGAATTTCACAGAGTTATTTGGGGGAGCGGGCATGAGTGTTTTGCATACTTCTCTTGTTATTATTTTAGTTATCAGATTCAACGTTTCAAATGCCTGCTCTGTGATGGAAAAGAGTTCACACAGTTGCTGCATGCAGAAAGGCACATGACCAGTTGCCACTCAATTGCAGCTATGCTTTCAACTGTAGTGTGTGAAATACTACTAAACCGCAAGGACATAAAACACACTTGCCCAAATTATACGTTGCGAATAATCAAAAGATCCACAGAAACCTATATAGATGAAGAGAAAAAGGAGTTTGAGAAACCTCAATAGGAAAGAGGGAAGCATGTGCAACCTTATATGAATGATATTTATTATCGAGGTAAGGAGATGAAGAGGACCCTCCTAATCGATGCTCCCACAAACGTTAAATCGCACAGAGTAACAAAAACAATCCAGAAACCTTACGAAGGAAAACCTAACCCAGCTATCTCAGACAGCTCGACTACTTTGGAAGTTCAGAAACAAATATATGTTGTACCTCCACCCCCGCCGAGGTCAGTATCCAAATTCAGGAATCAATCCCAGCTACTTCAGGAGATGCTGTCCTCTATCTTCCAAAACAAATGCCGGTTAATGTGCGCCATATTTCCGGGCGTCGTTCTGCTCGTCTAGCTCATCTTCTACATCATTATCATCATCTTCCGGATCTCAGCCCGATAAACATTTATCACTGGGTGATCCGGATACATACACGATCCCTGAAGTTGACGGAAAGGACGACCACCATCCGACAATTTAGGGATCCAAGAAGTAACTGTACATTTTTTAATACCAAGGAGCAGAGAAGAAGATTTGGGTTTGGGCTTTATGGAATTAAATCTCGTGACCAACCCGTATTTATAGCCCAATAGATGTTCAAAAATGATACCTTATTTCTTAATTTACCTCAAAGTCATAAGAAAAAGATGACCAGGGAGTACTTAGTACTTAACGACAACTCGGAAATAGTCTGTATATGCCAATGTGATCTACACTCGATCAGAGTATGAACAGTACCAAACATAAGAATGCAATAGGTCCAGAGAAGTTGAAAATGATACATTTTTCCACAAGACATACAGCACATATCAAAGGACAAAAAGATAGCAATAGATCATCTGATTAATGTTAAAGCTGAGCACGATTCATAATAGGAATTTGTTCATCATTTTCGATTGGACTCTCGCTACATCTGAGGGCTCCTACATAAAGCCGGTCATTTAGTCACTGTTCAATGTAAGCAATTGTCAAAAATGTAGATGGATGTATGTGTGGACACTTAGTAGCAACAAAAAATAACTGTGTACTTCTTCCAATGCAGGAGTTGCAATGGTCAGTGTAGTATACAAACACAAATACACATAACTGCAATTAATGTACACAAAGGTAATGCAAAATAAGCAGCTTGAACATCGGTCACCATTCCAAGCCAATGCCCGTGACAATATGGCAGTCAGGTGTAACAAATGTGAAGAGTATACCCCTGTGCTAATACCGTAGATGATATATTCCAATCCACACTTTGCAAAAGTTGTTTCCCTTTTCGGGGTCAACCAAAAGGTCAAAAGGGAAAGAAACGTCATTTCTTCTCTTTATGATACCAAATATTTGGGCGTGCTGTGATGCATCCATTGTGTTTAATTTTTTTTTCTTTCAGTGTGTGGGTAGCCCCATCTTG